GTCACCGGTGGGCTGTTATTAAAAAAATAAGTTCATCTGAAAGTCGGGAAATTTGTAAAAGGTTAAAAACAAAAGAACAAGTTTAACGAAGAGCTTGTGACATAAAACAAGTTAGACAGAAAAACATGAGAAAAGTGACGTCCATCCTCTCATCCTCTGCTCTCAGACGTTCACACAGGTAATAAATAAGATAAAATACTTCAGCTGTTTCCCACGCTGGGCTTCAGTCTGAGGGGGTTTCAGTGTTAAAGGAACAGTCAGATTTCTTCAAGTCTGAGGAGATGAGACGACTTTCAAGTCTGTGCATCGAGCACAGGAAGTGAATGTCATTTATGTAGCACCGGCTAACAACTTTGCTCCTCTCAAGGTGTTTTATTTAAGCGTAGAGTATCAGAGCCTGATCTGAAAGCAGCGCCCGTCTGCTGAACCCAGAGCTGCAAACTAACCAAACTAACGAGTGTCTCAGTTCCTGCCTCGAACGTGTGCTGGACACAGACTTGAAGCGTCAGCCTTCGTCTCCGAAGCTTCCTGATGAGCTCGGATCTCAACCTGTCCGACTGTTCCTTTAACTTTCCACAGGAACGTTCAGCCTGATGACAGGAAGTCAGAAAGTGAATGTTTGTCAAACGCCTGAAACCAGCTGAGAAGCTAAGTTAACCCTCTGACTGCTGAAACCCCGCCCTCACAGAGACCAGCGTGCGAAACAGCTTGTTACTCCCTCAGAGGTCATCAAAGAGCACAAAGAGCAGACCCCGCCAACCCAACGCCCGCCTGCAGGAGGTGCCGTCTCTCACTGCGATGCTGATGTTCAAAGGTAGTCCCGGCAAGACCGGCGTCCTCTGCGCGGGGTTCAGTGGGCGGAGTCAGTTGAACGCCTCCTTGTTGATCCACATCAGGGTCCGCGTCTCGTTGGGCTTGCACTCGTACTCGATGCTGCTGAACTTGTTGCCGAACTGGCAGTGCTCCCTCTTGTAGTAGTTGTAGTATTTGGCCTGCCACACCGTCTCAAACGTCCCCGCCTTGATAAACTGCACCGAGACACAAACCAGAGGGCGAGCTCAGATTCACGTCAGGCTTTTAAAACATCCTGTTTCTAAAGAGGCCAAACTCATGAATGCAGACGGCGTGTGCAGTCATCTGCTGACAGGAAACTGCACAAACGCGTCTGATTGTAGATCAATAAATGTGATACGCCTGTGCAGCTGTCACACGGGTGATAATACCACCTTAAATTATATTTTTTTCTCACTGATTGATTAAATGCTGCACAAAGTGTGTGTTTGCAGGCCTCTCCTAAACTAATGATTTTATGTGTTTTTATTGGAAAGCTTGCAACGACACAGGCTCTCGTCTCTGAGTCCGACCCCTCGGTCTCAGTCTTGCTCTGCTGTCACTCTGGTTCTCCAGAACATCCTGGATCCACCATGTTTTAAGGAGATCATGGCTAGCAGAGAGCAGGCTGTTCATGCTATCGTAAACAGCATGCCTGCTAAGCGTGCAGCCCCACACAGCTCCACTGCTCTGAGACATCTCACCTCTATGCTGACTTGGACGGGCTGCCGGTCGCCACTCTTGGTGTGCGGGACGCCCTCGGTGTCGTACTGGCCGTGGTAAACCACCGACTCGTCGTCCCTGGACTGCTGCTCCAGCGGGAAGACGACGCCTCCAATGTTCATGTTGCTGTGAGGAAGAAGAGGCCGAAGGGTTACGCACGAAAATAAAAATATTGCACATTTTTATCATTTTTGACATTTTGTCTCAAACGCTGTTAAAGAGCGTTTGATGTCCAGCAGCGAGCTGAGCGTGTGACGTGCGAGCGACTCCCACAGTGTGAAGGAAACAGGAAACATTAAAATGTGTAAATGCTGCGAAACGCTTCATAAACGGTTCAGTTGGTTTAATTTGTAATGAAAGTGTAATTATAGTCACACAGAATGAGGAGAAACACGTCAGGTTACCTCAGAATCACAGATTTTACTGTAAGCACATTGATACGGTCGTATCGCTGCAGCTCGCAGCGTAAATACAGCGTCGTGTTCAGGCTCCATTCATGTTTGTACATTTGGATTTGCTGCTCTTTATGCTGATGATAACGGCTGTCCTTACAACGTGTTTCCCTTTCACTCTCCTCTCCTGTACCTGCGACCTGACAAGTACAGCGTACTCAGGTGTGTGTACTTCCTGTTTGTGTCAGTTTGGAGTTTTCCTTTCATGTCTCTCCTTTACCCACGAAGCCTGTTAACCTGCTACCGTCACCATGGTAACTGATGCTGAACACCTGAAGCAGAGTGTCAGTGTGGGACTCACTGCTGCTGTGACAGGAAGCAGAGCTCCGCCCCCTCGCTGTGGGCGGATCTTTACTCTCACAGTCCTGCAGGGCCCACATATCAATATGTACCTTTATTTAACTGATAATACTCCAGTATTTTTACATGTAATGGAGTATTCTCTGACGGCATTCCTGCTCCGGCAATAAGCACATTTTACCCCCGTTATTCCATAATGAACACGTCACTTCCTTTCATTGTCCCCGGTAACCGCAAACCTCCGCCCTGACCGGGAACGACACGTGATCCCCGCATGATTTATTCAGGCAGGTGTCGGATGCTCCGGCCTGCAGGAGGAGCAGCAGCCTGCTCCTCATCATCACCTCCTCATCATCATCATCACCTCTTGCAGACGTTCTTTATCATTTCTCGCACATGCGCGCTGGCGTGCCGCACACACAGGTTACCGAGATGCTTACGTGGCCTCGACGTTTCCAGGCTTCAGCACCACCTCGATCTTGTACTTGGAGCCCGTGAGGAGCTTGATGGTCCGGCTCTGGCCGAAGCGGGTCCCGTCCACCTTGAAGAAGACCGGGCCGTCGTTGGGCTGGATCCGCAGCGCGATGGAGATGTTGATGATCGGGGGCACGTCGTCCATGGCGCCGAGCTCAGGGAGGGGGAGGCGGACGGGTGAGAGAGATGCTGAGGAAGGACCAGAATCAAGCTGCACGCTTCACGGCTTCCGGTGACAGCTGCTTTCAAAATAAAAGACTGCAGCCGCAAATAGCAAGGCGAATGTGTGTGTGTGTGTGTGTGGGGGGGTCAATAAATGTCACCGGTGGGCTGTTATTAAAAAAATAAGTTCATCTGAAAGTCGGGAAATTTGTAAAAGATTAAAAACAAAAGAACAAGTTTAACGAAGAGCTTGTGACATAAAACAGGTTAGACAGAAAAA